TATTTCAGTTCATTCCGCCGGGGGGATTTATTAGATAGATCCGTTTAATTAAAGCTGCGAAATGGCCGGCGGTGAGTACGCCGCTAACTCCGCGATAGTTTTAAATGCCGCGATGCGAGAAGTTTCTCGTTCGATTCTGAAAATGTCACGTGCCAGGTCGCACCGAGTGGCTGTCTGTGTGAGCGCCTGCACCCGCGAGAGACCATAACAAAATTCTTCAGATGTACTCGGGTATATCTTTGTGAATAACGCCGCTGCGAGAGAGAAAGAGAGAGAGAGAGAGAGAGACTCACAGGAGGAGGACGGCGAAGTTTAATCGTCGGTCGAGTGAATTACCAACGGGCGCGTGCGTAAATCACCGCGGAATCGTTAATTAGGCGGTAGAACGAATGAGCTTTCTGGAAAATGTCAACGGCTCGGCAGATGCAATGGGGACGGTCGCGGGTTCGCGCGCTCTCTCTCTCTCTTTCCTTCCCTCCCGTTCCTTCTCTCTTTTACCCGTCGGAGACTCGATTAGGACCTTTTGACACGCGCAATTTCGCGTTCATTCGGTGCAACCACGATCTCGGCTGCGAGTCTTCCATAATTTGTCACTACGACGATGCTGGTCGCTAATTTATATACTCTCCGTCGGATTTACTCTCGATAGATAGGTGCCGCGCGAGCGATCCCACGTGTGTGTGAATTAATTGAAAACGCAAGGTACAGGGAACCTATTAGCGCGCTCGAATATTCTTATACACGCGAGATACGCGTGTTCAAGACGACACTCGCGAGCCGTCGCAGTTCGCCATTCTAGAATGTCCGCGAAGGAGCGTGATGTAGAAATTCGCTGATGATTATCGCCTTTCATTCGTATTCCGCGGCGATATTGAAAAACTGAGAGAGAAAGAAAGAGAGAGGGAGAGAGAAAGGGAAGGGGGGGGGGGAGGAAGAAAGAAGAAACACTGCGTATCCACTCGTTGTTTTATTTTACACACGACACACGGAAAGATCATACGAATGCGAACAAAGCTCGAGCTCGGCGATTCGTTCTAGAATCCGCGTCGAGAAGGTAGGGCGTTCCTAAATCCTATGTCGGCCCGCTTTTGTTCATGAAAACATCGAAATTAATGAAGTCGTCCGACTAGGGCCCAGCCTAGTCTCGGTTAAATTAGAGGTACACGCCAACCATTAGAATACTTAACGAGGGCATTATGGTGGGACGCGCTGCGTGCGCGGGTGTGATAATGAATCACCGCCGAATAACTCATCACTTACGTACACAAGCAAGAGAGAGCGCAGGAATATTAAATTAGAGCTTACTTATTGTTAGCCAAGAAAAACTCTACTCTCTCTCTCTCTCTCTCTCTGTCTCTTCCCTTTTTCTTTTCTTTCTCTCCCCTCCCCCCCCCTTCTCTTTCTCTCTTTCTCCTTCGCTCGCCGCTTCTCTAAATTTCATGGAATGAAATTTCAATTCTCCCGAATTCGAGTGATTTTTCGTTCATATAAAGTAAATCGTCCATTCTGAATCGTCCGGTGAATATTTTCACTCGAAAGTGAATCTGATACCGCCACGGGAACTTATTCATTCTGATCGATTGAAACATTCGCCGTGTGAAATCAAAATCCGCTCTAACCTTGTGATTAGTGGAAACGCAATATTGCGTTCGCAAAAAGCGGCTCAAACTGGCGGAAACGCAATACTGCGATTTGATGCTTTTGGTATTAAAAAAATACCAACTTACCCAACTTTAAAAATTAAATTATAATTAAAAATTAAATTACCCATCTTAAAAATTAAATTAACTTGTTATAAAGTTACAAGTTAGAAGTTAATTATGCAAAGCAATATATATATATATATATATATATATATATATATATATATA